GTGTTTGTGAAGATACAGATAGCTTACTAGTATACAGAAGGGTGGCTACGTAGGTCCCTGCAAAGGGCAAGGCAACACCCTAAAACAAAATGTCAGGGCCAGTGCTAACAAGTTAAAACTTTTTAACACCAAGGAGCAGCATCCATTGTAAGTGATTTAATCAGCATTCGAAAAAGCCTTAAAACATTTTAACTTTACAATTACTTTATTTACAGTAATTATTACAATGTATAGTGATGGAACTTTATAATTTCTTTATCCATATAATTTCTGTGAGACTTTGGATTCAGTAACAGGTTACTATACTTATGTGCCACCAAATCAAAATGTCCCTATGGGAAATTTAATTTATACTGACGATTCAGGCCTTAAGAATAAAAATTTGAGAGAACCATAGTATACTAATATTTTTAAATGGTCAGTCGCATCCTGTACTATAGTACTTTGCACTATTTTCTACCATAAAGTGCTGACTGATGATTTTCATAAAGGTTGCTTGGTGAGGAGATATGTGAGCCAGACTGTGATTGCATCTATACAGGCTTCATGCATGTAACATTATCACAGTATGCCTTTCTACTTTACTGAATCTGATTTTGGGGTTTTAAGACCAGTCTGTGCAATTCCATAATCAAGTCTAACATTATATGCCTTTCTATCTTCAAGTACCGTATATACTCGAGTATAAGCCGAGATTTTCAGCCCATTTTTTTGGGTGAAAAGTGCCTCCCTCGGCTTATACTCGAGTCAGCGCCAGCGCGTCTTCTTACTTACCTCGCCGAGCGTCGCGTCACTGCTGCTCCGGTGTGCGGCGCTCCGAGCGGGGTCATCTGGCAGTCTCCGGGTCCTAATTTAGGTGGCCGGAGAATCCACTTACAGAGCTAGGTTATTTTTCTTTTAAATAAATATTAATGTAATTTTATTGGTATCTATCTACCAGTAGCTGCCTCATTTCCCACCCTCGGCTTATATTCGGGTCAATACTTTTTCCCAGTTTTTTTGGGTAAAAGTAGGTACCTCGGCTTATATTCGGGACGGCTTATACTCGAGTATATACGGTAATAGACATTTATTCCAGTAACGTTTTTATTTTACTCGGGAGCCTATTTAAGTATGAAAAACGTTCAACTTGGTCATCTGTTTTTCTACCACATGGAGTACAGGCTTAGGGGAAAGCCCACTGAGACAGGCAACTTCACACAGGCCTATGAAATGTAGCTTACACACTTAAGTGAAATCTTAAGGTTTGTCCTGTGTATGTCTTATATCTCTGGGGTGTTAAGGTGTCTATTGGTCATCCTATGTTTATTTGTTCTGGCCTTTGGTTATCAGGATGCATTCTTCACTCCCAGGTCCAACATTTATGGCACCCCACTCAACCCCTCCCCTTTTCTAACAACTTTCTCTTTTTTTAAGTGGTTAACTCTGTCATGTTGATTAGTATTGCTTCTGACCTGAGGAAGAGAGGTTCCCTCTCAAAAGCTTGTCTTTTGAATATTATGTTAGTCCAATAAAAAAGTGTTACCTAAATTACTATTACTATTTTAACGCTATATAAGTGTTCAAACTTACAGGCATGAGATTCTTAAGAATTCAGTCATGAGATTTTCAAGCTTAACACAATAACAGAATTTATTGGTATATAGTATGCAGACTTGAATACACTGAACCAACAATCTATGTAACTACAAACCTAAAGAAGAGATCTAAGCATGCATCAAAATATTAATAAAAGCACAGACCATGGTACATACATACAAGACAAATACACAACATACATAAGTGCGCAGGCGTATCCGGATAATTACCAGGAGATGTTCAGGTAGGGCCCTCTGGTCATCACCAACAGAAAAGAGAAAGAGCTTCTTCCCTCAATCGTTAATATACCCCCGGTGTCCATAGGGATGCATTGCAAGCCTTCGATTGGTTGCCTCCCAAGGCCTAATGGAGATTGGAGGGTTTCCAAAACCCTCTTTACAACTCCCCAACCCTTTCTATGATTGGCCAGTCTACATATTGTTAGATCCAAGGGTCTCGGCTCCGAAAAAGACTGAGGACCAGCCATACTCTATGCAATTATCCGGACATGCCTGGGCTGAACAATAACCCTATTTACAATTCATTGGCCTGCTACTCCCCTACACAGTGATAAGCCCAACAAAGACTTTATTTACCTCCTAGCTACCCCCACCTCAGGTGAAATATTTAAAAACAAAAATAAAACTATATACATATTACATATACTTTTTGACATAAACTTTGTATGGTAACAAAAGGTATTATTTCATATTGCAATACTCTGTTTTAGTTTTTTGACATCTTGTCTACTGCACTTTCTTGAAAAAGTATTTGTATGCGTCAAAAGAGGTGGACACGCACTGAGGTTTTGACACTCTAAGTTGGAAGGATCTTGATTGTGTGATTATTCGACTGGCTTGTTCGTGATGGATTGAAATATTTTTTGAAAAAGCGATTGTTTCTGGGAATCTTGTAAGTGTTTTTAAAAATTTTAAAAATAAAAACCTATTTTGGCATATTACACTATGTGTTTATTATCCTCTCTGGGGAATGGATACATTTTGTAAACGACCTCACGTGAACCGGAAGCTTTTCAGTGAAAGAGCACAGAGTGGAGGAGGAAGCTCTTACTGCATGTGGAGGAGCAAAAGCTAACCGTGATTGCAATCTGGGATTGTTATGCCGCTTTGAATATGAAAGTCTGGTGAGTGCAGGGTGTTTCACAGTCACCGGGAGTTTAAGCACCATAGCTATAAGAAGGACTTATCAATGATGGTTATTTACATCTTGGCATCAATTAATTGTGGACTTTATAATTATCAATTTGCACATAATCTCTACTGGAGATATTACAACGAAAGACACATTTTATTATGTATGAGTATTTATGAACTATATTGGTTATATGTGATTTATTTGTATTCATGTATTATGATTATTGATTAGCGCGATGCATCTGTTTGATCCACTTTAAAATTGGCCTTGCAACGGCAATGACTGTTCAGCATGTGATAGAATTTTGTCTGTATATTGCTTGTTATGTAAAACAAAACCATTAGAACATTGAAGAATATCACATATTCCTTTATTTTCTTAGCATAAGTAAGAAGAAATCTGACAGGTGATTTTCATCTTTAAAAAAACTTTTACAATGATACTACTACTTATTCCAATATTTAGTTTGGGTATATCTTCTTCTGATGACTAATTTCATATACTTCTATAGCTTATATTTATCTGTAATAGGGATAATTTAAGTAAAGATAAGAAAGATTTAGAATCAAAGTATATATCAAAGAAAAATTATATATAAATTATATATAAGGAACACACAGTTTAAACCAATTCATTTTTCTAATACATACTTTGTGGTGTTAGTCATTGCCTTTTGGTTTGTGTTTTACATAGTGGTTTGTAAGACTTGGCTAATTTGAATTTGTTTTATTGTTTACTTCAAGCTTAGGAAACTATGTTTTTGTTTGTATGTGTGTATTTATGCTATATGTAAATATACATGCATCTTGAAATATGTATTAGCCTGCCTGCTGTGAAACTTACCCATAACTAGCCATGTAACTACATATGCTGTAGATTATCTGCTTTGTTCTACCTCTAATACAAGATTTATGTTAGTATTAACTATGAAACAAAGAAACTCCATCAACATTATTATATTTTTCCTTCTCCCAACAAACACATCAAGCTTTGGTAGGAAGAACACATTTTGGTTACTGCAGGCCAACTGGCAGACCTCTTCATTTTCCCATTTGCTGCCTTTTCCTAGAACACAAATCTAAAATTGTAGAAGAGACTGTAGCTTGCTGCTTGGTTATAATATTTCAAATATTTTCTAGTTAGGTATGAATACTAAACATTTTACACAGCAGCAGCCATGATCTTTGTATAACCACTTGAAGACCAGGATGTCTGGTCTGGAAGTGTTTAAATAAACCAAATGTTTAATCACAGTTTGTGAATTGGCTGGGATTGCAGTCACATTTTCTATTATAATGAATACCATGTGTTAATAAAGATCAAACTGTATTAGTGCAATTTCAATCCAGGAAAGGCACTTGCTCAGTGCACAGCAGGAAATTAGAAGCTGAGCACCTTTCAGGTGGATCACTAGGTATTTTCTGTACTGCCTGAGCCTTTAAAGGTATAAAACAAGTGATGTTTAATAGTACAAAGCTTAGATATATTGCACATGTTTGTATGTTTGTTTGTTTATTTGTTTGTTTGTTTTGCCCAAACATACACTTTGGGGTTCATTTATAAAATATATAGTTCACGTGGCTATACACTGGATGGAATATTTAAAATAAATACCTTTACATTTTAACATAAAACTACATTCTGCTAAGAATAAAACTCATTTAACTATGTCAGTAGGTATCAAACACATTTTCATAATTAAATGTTTTATACTCAGAAATCTTGTATTATTTTGGCTTCCTTTAACCAAAAACTTTTTTTAAATTACCGTATAATATATACTTTAAGATTTTAAATGTTAAGCACAAAAATTACACATACATTTTTTTTACTGAATATGAATATTTATTAAATAATTTGATAGTTTGCAGTGTTGCTGTTTGCATATTTATGTTTTTGTATAATTAAGTGTGTTGATAACATTTCAAATTAAATATTCAATATGCATGTGTTTATGCATATTACAATAATATGCATTAAAAGTTTAAAAGTAATAATTTAAGGGAAATTATTTCCTCAGTTCTGCAATTCCCCACTTTGACCTCAGAGCGCCGCTGTTTAACCAAGAAATGTACAGAACTGGAGACCCACTAGTGTTTTCCATACTGTTACAAACTGCAGGTCTGCAGGAAAAGACACAGACATTTTTGGATGTCTTGTAGACAAACCACAAAATATTTTCTGTTTTTTTGCTTGGATATAGTACATTATTTTGTCACTGGATTGTACTTTTCAAAGGGTTTTTGGAGAAGATTTAAATGCTGAAAATGCCTGAATTAAAGAAATTTTTACAGAAAGGATTCAGATGGCAAGTAATATTTTCCTTCTTATTTTCCTGGCTGTGTCATTCAGTCTCTAGTCAGATTCATTATTCCATTGTAGAAGAAATGAGAAAAGACTCTGTTATAGCAAATATTGCAAAAGACCTTGCATTAGACAGTAACACACTATCATCTAGAAAACTGCAGATTGTGTCCCATGTTTCAGAGAAATATTTTTATGTGAATCTAGGTAATGGAAGCTTGCATGTGAAGGACAGAATAGACAGGGAGATTCTGTGTGGGGCAGCTGCCACCTGCTCCCTTATATTTGATGTAATGGTTGAAAATCCCTTCTATGTTTTTAATATCAATATAGAAATTCTGGATATTAATGATAATGTTCCAGTTTTTTTTCATGACACAATTACTGTGGAAATTATTGAATTTACATCACCAGGAGCCACATTTGCTTTACAAAGTGCAGAAGATCCAGACATTGGTATTAATTCCATACAAACATACAAACTCAGTGAAAATCAATATTTTACACTGTCTAAGACAAACAGAGAAGACGGGAATTCATTTCCAGAACTTGTGTTAGAAAAAGCTTTAGACAGAGAGACGCAAAATAACCATGAATTAATACTAACAGCATTGGATGGAGGAAATCCTGTTAGATCTGGGACAGCCTTGATTAAAGTAATTGTTACTGATGGAAATGACAATGCCCCTGTTTTTACACAAAATGTATATAAAGTCAGTGTCAATGAAAATACTTCTATCAACACAACTGTAATTACAGTAGAGGCAACAGACAAAGATGAAGGCACCAATGCACAAATCACATATTCATTTAGTAAAACGTCAGAAAGCTTTCATCCTGCAGGTATGTTTGGCATCAACTCTACAAATGGAGAAATTAAAACAAACAGGGAGTTTGATTTTGAAAAGATAAAAAATTATGAACTATCTGTACAAGCCAAAGATGGAGGAGGCCTTGTCGTCCATGCCAAGGTATTAATAGAAGTTGTAGATAACAACGACAATTCTCCTGAGATAATCATTACCTCCTTGTCTTCTTCTATTCCTGAGGATTCTGAACCTGGAACAATGATTGCTATAATAAGGGTTCATGATCAAGATTCTGGGGAAAATGGGGAAGTTGACTGTCAGATTAGAGAGAGGGCGCCTTTTGAGCTAATACTGTCATCTAACAGATTCTATAAGATACTTACTACAAAAACCGTGGATAGAGAAAAAATATCTAACTACAACATAACTATTGTAGCTACTGACAGAGGATCTCCTCCACTTTTCAGCAGGATAACAATCCCATTGGAGATATCAGATACAAATGACAATCCACCAGTTTTTATGAAATCCACTTATGTTGCCTATGTGGTAGAAAATAACTTGCCAGGAGCTTTAATATACAGTGTAAGAGCTTCAGATCCCGATGCTGGTGATAATGCTAAAATAATGTATTCAATTTTTGATACAAGATCCAAAGATCTCCCAGTATCCACTTATCTCTCCATTAATATAGAGACTGGAGTTCTCTATGCTCAGAGGTCATTTGATTATGAGCAAAACAAAGAATGTCTATTACAAGTAACTGCTAGAGACAATGGGTCACCTTCTCTAAGTAGCAATGTCTCATTGCTAATCCGAATAGTAGATCAAAATGACAATGCACCAAAAGTCCTGTATCCTCCAACAGAAAATGGCTTAGCTATGTTTGAGTTGGTCCCTTTTTCCTCTGAACCGGGATCTTTCATTACAAAAGTTGTTGCAGTGGATGAAGACTCTGGACATAATGCTTGGTTGTCTTATCATTTCATGCAAGTCTCAGAACCACTTTATTTTGTCATCGATGAACATACTGGAGAAATAAGGACATCACGGGTCTTTCAAGGAAAGGATATACTGAATCAGAAAGCTGTGGTGATTGTGAAGGACAATGGATACCCCTCTCTCTCAGCTACTACCACTTTAAATCTTGTTATTGCAGACAGTTTTCAACAGGTGGTTCCTAAAATTACCAGTCATACTAATGATGGAAATCCTAATTCAAATCTTCAACTATACTTAGTGGTTGCCTTAGCACTGATTTCATTGTTATTTATTATAACAATTATGGTGTTTCTTATATCAAGGTGCAGAGCTTCTAAATCCCCAACAACATCTTTTAGTACATGTTTGTACCCTCCCATGGATCCCAGAGTGCTCTCCATGTATAGTGATGGAACATTATCACTCCCCTACCCGTATAACTTCTGTGTTACTTTGGATTCAGCAGACAATGAGTTTACTTATGTTCCACCAAATCAAAATGTCCCTGTGGAAAATTTAATTGACACTGATGATTCAGGACTTGGCAATGAAAATTGCAATGAACCATTGGCCACAAAGAGTATTGAGCAGGTGAGTTATCTAACTTAGTTTTTTTGATACAGAACATTTTATTGTACAAATCAAATTCTGCTGATGATATCAATAGGTTTTGCATCAGATTTTGGTATGCTTTAACAACTACATTTTCCACTATCATTAAGCACCACTACTTTATTCCTTGCACTTTTTTGTTTACGTTTGTTTTTAAATAAATGCCATTTTCTGCTATTATCATTTCATGCAAGTCTCAGAACCACTTTATTTTGTCATCGATGAACATACTGGAGAAATAAGGACATCACGGGTCTTTCAAGGAAAGGATATACTGAATCAGAAAGCTGTGGTGATTGTGAAGGACAATGGATACCCCTCTCTCTCAGCTACTACCACTTTAAATCTTGTTATTGCAGACAGTTTTCAACAGGTGGTTCCTAAAATTACCAGTCATACTAATGATGGAAATCCTAATTCAAATCTTCAACTATACTTAGTGGTTGCCTTAGCACTGATTTCATTGTTATTTATTATAACAATTATGGTGTTTCTTATATCAAGGTGCAGAGCTTCTAAATCCCCAACAACATCTTTTAGTACATGTTTGTACCCTCCCATGGATCCCAGAGTGCTCTCCATGTATAGTGATGGAACATTATCACTCCCCTACCCGTATAACTTCTGTGTGACTTTGGATTCAGCAGACAATGAGTTTACTTATGTTCCACCAAATCAACATGTCACTGTGGAAAATTTAATTGACACTGATGATTCAGGACTTGGCAATGAAAATTGCAATGAACCATTGGCCACAAAGAGTATTGAGCAGGTGAGTTATCTAACATAGTTTTTTTGATACAGAACATTTTATTGTACAAATCAAATTCTGCTGATGATATCAATAGGTTTTGCATCAGATTTTGGTATGCTTTAACAACTACATTTTCCACTATCATTAAGCACCACTACTTTATTCCTTGCACTTTTTTGTTTACGTTTGTTTTTAAATAAATGCCATTTTCTGCTAGCTTAAGTACCTTCAGTAACAGTGCAGGAGTAAAAGTAAAACAGGACTATTTTATTGAGAGGTAGCTATAGATACTGCCTGACCTCAATTGGAGAGGTAATCAATCAACAAACTCGAAAGACAGGTCACTCATTATAAGACTTAAAAAAAAACAAGTATTTCTTGTTACCTTGTCCAGCTTTAAGTGTTATAGATTTACGTTAAGTTTAAATAAAGCTATTGCAAACAACTGGTTAAATTGCCTAGTAAAATGGAAATACAATTGTCCATGTAGTTTAACCCTTAGGCCACAGAAGGAGTAACACTAGCTCTCTGCTTTTTCCATACACTCAGAATGTATTATAATTATAATTATATAATATATTTTAGTAGTAGGTTCTAAGATTAATCTAGGCCCTTTGCTGTCACCTCCTTCAACTCACAAGTTTACATATTTTAGAGGTCTTTTTCCCTTGTGCAGTTAATCTCTGTGGTTTTAAAGTGCTCCAGTCAGGTAGAGTTCAAATGAGTACAATTATTCTTTAAATAGAAGTAATGTTGTTCTATTTATTATTCACTAGTTATATTCATATAACCATTAGTGATTAGTTGTATTTTGCATATGACTTAATATGCTCAAAGCTGAGTGCATTTGTTATACTCTACATTTATACTGGTTTTATGAGTCAATCCCGGGCTACCGATGTTCATGAGGCCGCAATTCAGCTACATGGTTTTGTGATATAGTTAGAATCTTTATCAGATTTTATTCACTCTCTGTGTCCCATTTAGGGAGGAATTCCCTTCACTTAATGCCATGACTTAAATATCTCCATTTGGGACACATAGAAAAAATGTGTAGTTATAGGGCTTTTAAGGTGCCAAGTGACAAAACCAAGAGATTACAACATCATAAGTATCAAAATGATTTTTATTATACAAAAGTTAAAAGCCATAGAAAAATAATTAATATGTCATGCTTGCATTCATCGTAATCTATCATTCCTCCACAAAGCTACTCCAAGATGAAATATTTGTGAACTATTTAAGCATAACAAACCATAAAATACATGATCCCTATGACATGTTCTTAGAATCATATGCCAATGAACTGCCTCTTCTTTCAAGGATAAAGGAGTAGTTGTGTTTCACTCTCCAAGCGCTTCCTCAGGAGATGGAGGAAATCGATATGGAGAATAATCCGGTCGCATATGGCCAAGCCCAAGAGACAGAGCCTGAAGCCCAAGGAGCATCAAAGGTGGACCAATGAGACCCCCCAGAGCAATGGAAATGACGCACAGAGAGTTTTTTCCTGTTGAGTCTCAGAATAGCTCCTAGAATGGAGCCACAACATAGGTTGTCCCAGTCAATGAGTCAATCTCGTGCCACCGATGTCCACGAGGCCGCAATTCAGCTGCATGGTTTTGTCACTCGGCACCTTAAAACCCCCATATCTACAGGATATCTTCAGGATTTGTCCACGATAATTATTTCCATTTGGGACACATACAGTGATAAAAGCACTGATTTTTAATTAAGTACCCTAACACACAATACAAAAAATGATTAAATGCTTAAACTGAAACAATCTTTTATTGTTATTATATTCAATCATTTGGATTGTGTTCAATATTGTAATCAATATCAAACACGCACTACACATTTCAGGAGTTAGATTCTACATATGAAGCTCAATTCACAAAGATAACTCACCAGGATAGGTATACTTGTTTTAAAAAAAAATAGTTATTTTGAATTTGATTTAAAAATTACAGTCACATGACTATATGTCAGAGCCATATCCTTGTGTTAAAGCTTTTCGAATTAAGTCTATAGTACCTACACACTCAGTTTGTAAGGACTTATTTTAGAAGTAAAATATATCCTGAGAGGCACAGTTCCTAACTTGTGCCTGCTTCTTCACATTTGACAAAATGGTTTCAAACCCATTGGGGTTGATTTAATAACCTTATAACCACGCCACGAACAAGTATACACCTCTGTAGTGTGTTCCCTCCCAGCATGATCTATTGGTGGAATCTAGACACCTTTGTAGTGTGTACACACCCAGCAGGTGTGTTGTGCAAAGCCAAGCATGAATTGCAAGGTGATGTTGTGTAAATTAGCGCTACGTTGTGTTGCTTGCGTTGATGAATGCAGGAATGTAAATGCATGAGCTAACCATTTTTGTCGAAACTGTGAAGCAGCATTATATATGCATCATGTGCATGATTTTTCCATATATGGCATTAGTGGAAATATGCTTTTAGAGACTTGCATGCCGCTATTAGAGCAGCGTGTAGCCTATGAACCTGATATTGATATTAATTCAGTGCATGCATATAAGTATAGTGATAACCAGCATTTTACACTAACTGAGAAAACCAGACCAGATAGGAGTACATTTCCAGAAAACTTCCAGAAAGACTGAGAGATGCAAAGTATTCATCAATAGAATCTATATGCTCTGAATGTAGCACATCCTATTAGAAATGACAGAGCCTTTAAGTTGTATTAAACTCTCAAACTTATTTTCAATAATGAATCTGGATCCAACAATTATACATTGCTCAGCAAAGTATTTCTTACCAAGCTCTTACAGTCATCTTTTTCCAAACAGCTGGCTCCATCTCTTCCAGATCTGCATCCCTGAACTTCTTGTCCCTGAATCCTTGTCATTAGAAGGGGACCTGATGGAGAACTTCAGGTCCCCCTCTGCTGATTGACAGCAGCAGTGGGCGGGTGCAATGGCTAGTTTGCTATTGGCTATTGCAATGTGAAATAGCCAATAGGAATCTAGCTATGCATTCCTATGCTGGCTTTTGTTTTTCTGACAGACGGCGGCCGGCCGCCCCATGTAAGGAAAAAAAACAAATTGCAAGGAAAAACATTCAACCTTGTCATCTGTTTTTCTTGCACATAGAGTACAGGCTTAGGGGAAAGCCCACTGAGACAAGCAACTTAGACCATAACCTCACCCAGACTAACGAAATGTAGTGTACACGCTTAAGGTATATTTTTAGGTTTGCCGGGAATATATTTACTACAGACCCAATTTTACTGAACTGGGCTGTTTGTATATATACAGAATATATATCTATAGCTCTATATATATCTATAGATATCTGTAGATATATAGATATCTATATATCTGTAGATCTATAGATATCTACAGATATCTATATATATCTATAGATATCTATATATATAATGATGCACTTTAGGCAATGCTTTTTGAAGCTCTTTCTCCAAGGTAAGACTTTTTATACAGCAATGGATATACTGACTGTTCAGTATATAATAGAATCTTTTTGTACTTTGCTTGTTATGTAAACCAAAACCTCTAGAATATTGAAGAATAGCACATATTCCTTTATTTTCTTTAGCATACAGTAAGAGGAAATCTGACAGGTGATCCACACTCAAAGCTGTAAATACTTTTGAAATTATACTACTACTGATTCTGTTATTTGTTTTGGGTATATTTTCCTCTGATGACTATTTTTATATACTCTTGCAGCTTATATATGTATATTGATCTGGTTTAACGATAATTTAAATAACATTAAGAAATGTTTAGCATCAAATGCTGGCAAGTAAATATCCAAGATAAATTTAACACCCAGTTTAAACCTCTTCATTGTTCTAATACATACAGTACTTTGTGGATTTAGTCATTGCCTTTTGCTTTGTGCTTTACATAGTAGTTTGTAGGATTTGGATAATTTGAATTTGTGTTGATGTTTACTTGAAAGTTTAGGAAATATTTTAGTTTTTGCTTGTATGTATTTTTATGCCATATGTAAATATACACGCATCTTGAAAAATGAATTAGGGATATTCTCTAAAATCTTACAAAAATATATTTTTTATAACACTGACTACTTAATTCAAGGGTCATGATATGTTGAAATTATGTCTTGATATTTTTGCTGAATTTGACACTATTCATAAACATCTTCAGCATTTTGCTCTAAAGGACACTCTACTATCATACTATTTTATGAAGGTGCAAAACTTGGTGAATTAGCTTTTTTCTGACTTCTCT